ATCTACTCTGAATTCGGCCCCAATGATAGGCGCTAAAGTCGTTCAAATCGTTACGAACTTTGCCACGAGCATCCTCGGACGCACGACTTGACACATGCCTTACCAGGAGCAATCGTTTAAACGATGGGTACACGGCCAGGATTTCGTAGCCTCACTCTTCCAGGTCGAAAAACATTTGAACAGTCTTAGGAAAAAATGATGGGGTAAGAAAACTGTCACTTCAGGTTCTGATTTGGGCCACCCAACATCAATTGGTATTAACAGTTTGAGATCAGGCGTAGAAGCAGTAACATCACAGAGTCGTAAGCTGATGATCGGAAATACCAATTCCTCATGAAACACAAGGAATTGTGTAGAATGGTTAAAATACTTGTGATGGTGCCAGCCAGTACAACTGCAGAACAACACAGCAGAGTTGAACAACTTCATCGAAAACATCTGAATATGAGTGCACATATATTGGTTAATATCATGACAACTATCATGCTAGTGTAATACTGAAAATAAGCACATGCTAAGCATTTGCGACAGTAAGGAGAAGAAGAAAAATGTACAAAGTGGAAAAATAACAGGCTAGATATAAACAAGATCGCAAATTGAAATTTTTCGAGTAAATGTTGGAGTGAGTAACAACTGGAAAAAATAATATCGAAAACAATGAAAAAGCATAACAACTTGCTAGCCGTAAGCCATTAACGACAAGGATCATCAGTGAAGAAAAGCTTTATCAGCAAATAGTTTCATACTGCTTTCGTCCTAGATATTATGCTGAGGCAAGTATTACTAACTGTGAGAACAAAATGACAAAATCGACATAGATGTTAAAAAGATTAAATTTTTGACACTAAAACACGTACGCTAACAGAAAAACAGAGCAATCCATGCTACCAAAGCAAAAAAAAAATAATCAAACATTTCGCATTTTCAGTGGACGCTTGGTCACAGTACGAGACTTTTCAACGGATCGAATTGGTGAATCAACACCACTTTCAGGAGTATTTTTTGAACCTGACCCTTCTCCAGTGTTTTCCGCAGTACCCGCTCGCTTTTTTCGTAAAGGAGATTGCTGATAATTATTTGAAGTGAAAACGCGCTTTTTCGAAGACGCTGTGGATTTTGTACTTTCGAAAGAAAACTTCTTCGGTGGGCCCAGTGGAGTACTCGTGAGTAGAACGACTCCCGAATCATCTTTCTGCTTTTCTTGTTCCGATAGTGAGCGCTTTCGAATCTTTATGGGTGATCCTCCCCATTCGTTCAGGAGGGAATCAGCGAGTGACATGTTGACCTTCGCTTCTTCTACCTAAATAATTCTATCACTCTAAAGATAGGAATTTTCTCTAGAACAACGATTAGTGATTTTGCTTTTTTTTCTTGTTCTATAAAGGAAAAAGTATTCAAAACGCGGGGTAATTATGTTTAATTCACTATGGATAACGGCACCTCGATACAGATTAATTTCAGCTGGAGCGTCAAGGAATGGGCTTAAAAAACTACAAACAGCAATGAATATGGACGATGATAAGAACAAATCATGAGGAGCTCCTTCTATGTGAAAGGTATGCAAAAGCGGAAAATGGGGAAGCAACAACGAGTGCCGCCCTCTGATCTGAAACTCCTAATTAGGGTGCACAGCGGGTGAAATAATATAACCCTTTTATCACAGCTAAAGTAATTCTGAACAGAAAGGCTTGAGTATTCTATGAACGTACCACTGACATTGACTCGTTCATTCCCTCCTCCAGGAACTTCTCTATTGAATCCGAATCGCTTTTGTATAGCGGACTGACTTCTTTTTTAGATTGGCGGCTTTTAGGTCTTACTTCCTTGACCGGTTCTTCTTGCAACTCCGATGTATCTACAGTCTTCAACAGAAATATTAAAGATTTTGAACAAACGGCTGATGAATTGAAGAAATGTACAGTTCCTATGCTTACCTCAAGCGTAAGATCGAAATTTTCTGCACTCTCAATTTCTGCGGCAATCATGCTCATCTCCGCAATGTCATGTTCATCCATTTCTGGCATCTGTTTTTCGCGAGAGCTTTCTCCAGGCCCACCACCGCTGGTTTCCCCTTGTGGTGCGACATCAGGGGGAACACCTCCCAGCTCATTACTTGCGTCACTTTCGTCATCCAAGGGACGATCCTGAAAGAAATCAAAAAAAAAAATAGTTCATCAATTTTGGTTAACCTAGAGTTTTCTGAAATAATCCTCATTTTTGCCTCTCTGGGCCGAGGAACTTATTATTTGGGAAACTGACACAGGAAATAAGTTCAAAAAATTACCTTTTCGCCGGAAGGGCTTTGTACTTGATGGTCACCTTCGGGTTCATCTAATACAGCCCTTAATTCAATGCTTGCGTCACTGTCGTCCTCCATGTAACAATACTGAAATGATGAGAGTAGTTGAGAAAATCAAGTATTGAAATGTATTCTATGGCAATACGAATAGGTTTGATCCATGATCCAGTTTATTCTGAACAATTTTTTGCGCACGCTTCCTCCCACCACATTAAGTTACCTTTCCGTCCATGACATTCTACACCTACTTCAACTTCACCTGTCTCAAAATCGAAGGTATGGTTCATAAAATGATATGGATGCATGAAAAGGGTCATATGGGCTGCCTATTTTATTTCCATTTTCATTTTCCCATGAAAAAAATCGCTATGCGTGGCGCGTTAGTACCACCGGCCTTTCCAAAGAGAAGCTAATCAATAGGTACGATGTAAATCATCGAATAATCCAATACTTAGCACCGATATGAATCCAACTGTTTTCGTGTAATTCCTGGCGCTCTAGTGGAATAATAAACTATATGATTGCAACACAAATACGTAAGTATGACCAAGTAGGAAGCAATATAAAGTCCAATGAATGATAATTACAAAACCATAATATGGGATAGGTACAAATCACTAATATTGCTCACATAAAAGCAGTCAAACAATTGAGAGTTAATGTATTCAAGCCAACACGACGAATTTTGAAAACAGGCCATTGGCGCGTCGCATGCTGCGACCGCTGCGCTACGTCGACTCGTGTTTGGAGCGCCTTATCTCTCAAACGACCGAGTGTCTGCCTGGTATTTCCCCATGTCACTTTTCAAATTCATCGTTCAATGATTCGACGCTTATTTGCTGGCAATAGTACTCTCAGATGACAATTTATGAGTTGTTTGACTGTGCATAGTATCTTTAAGGAGTCAAGAAGAATCCACTCTTCTTCCACAACTAATCATTACCCCAGAAAATCAATAATTTCATTTGGTATTTTGCATACTATGTACATATGTATTTACCTAGCTCTTTCTTTTTTGAACGTACTGACTAGTCTTGATTGACCACAAATGACTTTTCTGTTTGAACTACGTTCTTGTACCTGTACCTCAAGTAAATAGACAAAATCTATCAGCAGTTTGCCTAGGTGTTGACAAATTTCGGGACGATCGCTGAAAAAAGACAATGTTAATGGTAAGTGCAAGGCTGTTGCAATTTAGATTGAAATCGAACAAACTTTTATGATTTTACTTTTACTACGATTTTCACTGTTTACCTCCGAATGTCAGTGGAATCAGTACTGAAGGCTTTCTTCCAAAATTCTGATGTTCACAGCTTTTGCCTGAAGCTCAATTCAGTTCTAGTTATCTCTCCGATCTCACAATTCTATCCCTCTTCTATCCGGTTGTTCCAATTGTTTAAGTAACGTAGTGTACTGTAAAGTCCTGTCCAGAAAAACAAAGATCATGTGTAGGTATTCCAATGATACGGCCCAGGTAACGGAACTTCTCCCCTATCGCGGCATTCTCCCTTGCGGCATGCGGCAAATGTCACTGCAATTACTGTACTCACCCCGCCTCCCCGCCAATCGATAGGACGCGATATTTTTCGTTGGTTGCCTTGCTTTTCTATTGGATTTGGTCGTTTTTTCTTCTGTTTCTTTTTCGTTTTCATGTTTATTAGACTTGATTAATTAAAATGACTCCTCCTATGTAAGCGGCGATCGAGACTGCATTAAAATAGAAGAAAGCGGTCAGTCAATTCAAATAATTAAAGGACTCCCTACCTTACAAATTGCGCGCTCCAATCCTCCATCGCAATCATGCGATACGCGGCGGGTGCGGCGTGTGCGACGCCGTGTCAAGGGAGAAGTTCCCGAACCCATGCGGGCCTTTGAGAAAGCAGTTAGAGCATGATAAGTAAATCGATTTTCATGTTTATTTAGTGGGAGTGTACGAGTAAATCGACATGTACCGGTTTCTAAATTGGATTCGAGAACTCCGAGGACCCGTCCTTTTCGTAAGGCCCGCCCACAACGTGGGCAGCACCTTAGTTATTTCTGATCGCATAAAAATGTCATAAATAAAAAAGTGGATTCCTAGATTCTTTCTGCTTAACAAATGCTGTCAAGAATGACAGCAATTCTCAAAAAAAAAATCAAATTCTTACGGATGACTGTGTGGAGATGTAATAGCCCACGCATTTGAGTTCCATTCAGATTGCCAGTATTGCTTGATTTCGTACTTGGCTTTTACAGTGACATTAGAGAGACGGCCGGTTTACAAACGGTACTCTTATCCTTCTCGGCGAAGCCGGCATCAATCAATAGATAGGTGATAGGGGGTGTGGTGCATTAGGATCGAAGTTGTCGTGTCGCGGCGAGAGAGACTCCGCGCGTGGAGGGATGTAGCGGAATGCAGCAACAGGTAAGAAATACAGGAACAAAAAACCTAACAGAAGAACCATGCCCACAATAGTGATCGCATTAAGATTGAGCTGTATAGCTATAGATATAGTTGTAGCTGAAGAACGCTAGAGCTGTAATAACGGCGCAGCAAATGGTCCGCGAAGGCCGCGTGCGGCGAATCGATTACACAAGACTCCCGTCTCCCCATGATAGGTCGGTATGGGCATGTTGATTAGAGGTTCGATCTCCTTTTCATGATTTAACACTACTGCTGCCTGGTTTTAAGCCTGTTAAAATAAAACTACATAAAAATGGAACGAACAAATATTAAATTCACTCTGAATTCACACTTTCTCAGTTTTACAATTCTAAATGATTTGACTCGATCCATGGCTAATAACATAGAACAAAGTCTCTTGATCATAATTCTAACATATTACGCAAAATTTTAGTCGATCAAGGCGAGAAACGGTACAATATTTCATACTGTTCGACCGCATGATGAAATCATGATATTTACAGATGCTAGACTGGAATTTTGTGAGGAGGGAAATCTTGGTGAAAAGCCACTTTATCACAAAACAGCGATACAACAAACATTGAAGCAATAATATCTGCTAGAAAAATCACGATTGCAGTGGCCAACAGAGGGCAGTAGAGCGTCTCCTGAATCAACATCAAATAGATGGTTAAATACATGTACTTCATAGTTAATCCGGCAAAGGGCCCAGCTGATCGAAAAACCCCACTTGTTAGGGGGAGGGGAGTCTCAACGGAAGGTGTTTTTTCCGAATATTTTTCTGCGAATGAGTCTACTCAGTTGGCACACATCAATGATTACCGGGTGTGGTGCGTTAGTAACGAAGTGGTCGCGTCGCGGTGAGAGGGGCGTCGCGCGCGAAGGAATGTAGCAGTATGCAGCAGTAGGTAAGAAATACAAGAACAAAAGTACTAAAAGTAGAATTATGCATAAGTTAATGATCGCATATCAATCGAGCTGTATGAAAAACGCTAGAGCTGTAATAACGGCGATGCGAAGTCCGCGACAGCCGCGTGCGGCAAATCGATTACCCGAAATCGTTCCTAACGCCCGTCTCCCATGATTACCAGGTCTCTGAGGTATTGTACTGGCTCTGTAAGTCAATTTGAGGAAATGAACCCATTCAAAGAGAAGGTACTGTACACCATCACTTGTCTTCCTCGGTGCTTGGTTGTAGACTTCATGTACCCTGTACCGAACAGTTAATAGCAGCATAATGTGGCACATGCTCTATCCGTCATTTCTGTACAGACGTCCCTGTCCGACTACAAGCTGTTAGCAGGTGAAGAATCGAAAGTAAGTGGGTGCACAAAAGACTTAGGAGGAAAAGGAAATGACTTGAAGATCCAAAAAATTACCTCGGTAACAATAAATCTCTCACGAGGCCTCGCAGATCATTTTGCACCGAACCTGCATGTATAGTAAAAAGTACATGACTAATTCATTTCGCGGAACCCACCCGATCGGAAGTTGATCGTTTGCGTAAGGCATTTGTTCTGAAAAGACAAACGAAACGTTTACAGAACGATTACGTGAACAGTACCTGATTTCGGTGAGTAGGAACCCCTTCTTTGTCAGATGTCGTGGGACTTAGCCACTAGGTTTCTTTGGAGCATTGAAATCCTTCAGCATACATGTGCATGCTACAGGCAGCTGACGGTCCAGGCAGGTTTGGCGGATTGGGTGGACAAAGTTGCCTTTACGAGAGCTGGCTGGCTAGGATACAAAAACCACCGTGAGTTGGTACTACATGAAAAGTAGAAACACATACATTTAGAGCTCTAGTAAGTAGGTATTGTAAAAAGTTAAGAAACGCAGACACACAAAGTGACGACCGGCGATGTCGCGCGGGAACGCCGAAGTAATCGATTGGGGGTGTTACGAAATACCCCTACGCTAAACTATATACAGTACAATATCGATTTTTACGTAAACGATTTGGGAGGGGTTAAGTATAACTGAAAATTATTGGATTGACTGAAATTGTAGGGTGGCTTGAGATCACAAAGCAAGTTTGATTATATACACCTTGCTCTCATACCCGTGCCGCAATAAAAGCATGAGTTCTTCTGATAGAAAAAAGTCAGGAGCTAATGTCAAGAAAAAGTTGACGCTGATCGACGGACTCGAGTCCATACTGCTTTACAGTAGCTTCTGAGAAAATGTGCTTCCTGGAAGGTTGTATTTCTTACGCCCCGCCCCTTCACGATAAAAAACTAAACAAATGAAGTATAAGGACAGTTATAAATAGACGATATGCTTAGAGATTACCGCAAATGGGAATAGGCGAATAGTTCCATCAGGCATTTTGGAGAAGTGTGCTGAAAAACATCGTCGGTGACATAAAATCTCCGCCACATGCAAAGGTGCATTGCCGTCTGAAATCAATATATCGAACGCATAAGTCTCCCAATAAATCCATGCCTGAACTGAGGGACAACGAAATCTATAGCAATAGGAAAGTTTAATAAAGAAAAACAGTCGCACACGCATGCACGACCGGTCGCGCAAAATGACTCTCATCGATTGACGCCTTGAGCGCGTCCTAGTATGTCTTCATCCATGACTTCACTTGACTTCCTCTTAAAAAAGTCATGGTAATATAATTATCAGAAAATACAAAATCTTACCTGCGACGTTACTTCCGTAATAAGAAGACGATCTCGGGTAAAATGAAATCGATAAAACAGATCAACAGGGCATCTTGATCTTGGCCTCAATCCGACCAAAAGGGCGAGAATCAGATACATATTGAGTACCGATCGAAAAAAAGAGAGAAAAATCCGGAGGCTTCATAGGCCGTCTGCGAAAGCGTAAAAGAGAAGGAAGGGAAGGTAGGAAGGAGGGAACGCTCTTTTCCAATGGCCAAACTACATACTTCTTTACATTCCATATCCTAATACAGTATGGGTATGCAAAGAAGCACGAAGTCTGAAGCGTATGGATTACCAAGAGCGATGGAAGGAAGGGGAAGGGAGAGGGGGCAACCGATCAATCGACTGATCGATAATGGCGAAGAAGCAGAATGGCGAGAATAGCAAATAGGTTGATGGATAGCGAATCTGAAAATTACTGAAAGACGTACCGTAATCTTACTTGACTGAAGTCAGCGTTGAGGCATCGAGCGGTATGGCGTCGCGGGCCGTCGTTCCCTCCGCGTTTACGTCGTCGACGTCGGACGCCGTCCGTCAACGCTGCTGCTGTCGCTGAGTGTCGCTGTATTAATCATCGCCGCCCGTATAGCGTCAAATTTCTGAACAACAATACTCGATTCGGGCCCCGACCATCACCACCACCGACCCCCTTTACAGAGGCCGAGGGGCCGAAGAAACTCAATCAGCAACTGACAGATAACCTTTGAAGTTACCATATGACCAGATGTGGCGAAGCGGTGGTGGCGGCGGCTCGGCGTCGGCGGCGGCGGCGGTAGATGAGGCAAAGAGTTCGCGACAATCACGATGTTGCAAACCACAGCTAATTTCATCGCTGTAATCACTTTCGATGACGAAAGTATACAAAAAAAAAACATCTGAAAAGACCGGATTCCACCAGTGTAAACGTCAAGATGCCGACCTGAAAGTATCGCGGCGGGACTTCGCACAGTAAGAAGGCTACCTAAGACAAGCCGCAAGTCAAATTTCCCAGGCATCCGTCAGGAACCTTCAGGGGCCGTAAGGTATGCTCCCCCGAACAGGGGAGTGTCCTCTTCCCGGTAAGGTATGCTCTCGGGGAGTACAGAGAGAGAGAGAGACCCGAATCGGGGCGTCCCAGCCCCGGACAGGAGAGCATACCTTACGGCCCCAGACCCAAGGTGACCCTATCTGGTCCTACAACGAATTCTAGCTGGAAAAGAGGCGAAAAGGCCGTTTCCGTTACACGTAATCCCTCAGGACCATTTGGTTTGGCCATCAGGTGGGCCTGATGAGTTTTTTGGAGGTGGAGGTGACTTCGCTAAAGAGTCCCAATGCATCTAAAAATCTTTAAGCGGGCACCCANAGATGATAGTTTATCGAAGAGGTTTCTTCCACGGGGATGTCGTCCCAGGGGGCTCCATACTTCACCGTAGGAACAACTGCTTTGAACAACTGTTTCTAGAGTTTTTAAAAATCGGGAATGAATAGAAATAGTAGAAAAAATAGTTTTTAGAGGTTCCGTGAGTTGAGAAAATGGATAGACACTGGAACTTACCCGGACCATATGTCCAAAATCATTCCCGTATCGCTCCATTTGAAACTTACTGCCCCTAAATTAGCAGAACCGAGAGTTTCCGTCAAGCAGTTAAATGCTGAGTGAAACGGCAATTATTTTTAAATTCGAAATAGCAGTTTTTCCATTGCCGGCCTGTTTCCGTGATTTTCCACTTACAATTAGACTAAATAATATCGTAAATTCCCATAACCATTTCTAAATTGTCTCGTTCAAAAGACAATTGTCTTGACCATGGGGGGTTAAATTGGTGTATCGGGATTGACGGGACATTTCAATGATGCGAAATCGAGGCCTCGGCCTAGGACGATTTAGGTCTAGGAGAGGTCGACAATAACGTCCCTTCGACAGCAATAACAACGGAAAATCTCATTTTTACCGAAAAGATGGATTGAACCTCGTCAATCATCGGGTTTGATAGGTCTGATAGGTCAGAACATGGGAAGGGATCCACAGATCAGCTCGACCTTACACCTGTCCACCACTCTTAGAGAGTGAGGCTTTTTCTTGATTATTACTACAGTTTTACCACAAAAGTAAGTCTCAGAAAGTGGAAGGTTTCCAGATTGAAATGGAAGGCTTAAAGGGGAAGAAGGAATGGAGGGCTGGCGGTTAAAGAAGCCGAGTTTCCCTTGATAGTGAGGGGATCAACAGGTACATTTAGCCTTTAATGTTGGTAGAGTTTTTGCCGAAGAGAAATAAATTAATGGATAAAAATAGAATTTGAAAAATATCATGACTGTGCAAAAGTGACCAGAAATATTTCGTTTGCAGTTCGAAGAGGAGAATTTTCAAGGAAAAATCCAGTCATAGCCTTCTCCAATGGCATTTTTGATGGAAAAAAGGTGGAAAAAAAAAGATTCAGAGAGGAATACGGAAGAAATCCTTGGAAGGAAATGACTCGTGAATATCCGCTGTCGAACTTGATAGAAGCATCAGAGGGATTCGTGGATTTCGCCATGAACCATCCCCCTGGACTAGTTCGCTCCTACGGTTCATTACACTGGTAGGCCGTAATGAGAGGGAACCCTCCTTTTTCTCTTTACAACATCACCTCTCTCCTCAGGTTCTAGCCAATAGACAGCTTGGAAAGAACCGGTAGGTGAGCCCATTCGGATAAGCCATGCATTTGGACTTCTCTGATATTGAGGGAGTTCACGAATGAGTCAGATGCCTGCACTGACGACCAGATGGCAGCGTTCCACCATTGAGCTATTGCATTTGCACATTCAATAAGAGATATTGATCGATTTGATGTCGCAGACAGAATTCGATCCATTGAATGCAGCAGCACATTAATCAATCCACCAGAACTGCAAATGACGATGTCATAAAATGTCTGGAAAGCTCTGGAAAAAGTCAATGATGGGTCATTACAGCCACTGAGAAGTGCTCAAGAGAAGGAGTTGGGGAGAGTACAGAACAAACAGATCAGGCCCAATGGCGACCATAAAGCGGACACATTCGCCAGTGTCAGTGACGCATCACAGACAACGAACGACGACGGATCCTAAGTGTATGCTGCAAGCTTTGGGGGCTAGGGGGCTTTGGTGTGCTGTTACGCTTTTACAACGTCATTTACAGCAGTGGTAAAAGCGCAAGCAACAGCAGTGGCGGGCGTGAGTGGGTGGAGCCGTGGGGTGGTGGGTGTAGGAAAGGAGAGAGGAACCACCGTGGGGCGATATGCAACTGCTAGCTGGCCGTGCATACACCGGGACAGAGAGGAGAGGCGGCAACGTTTGGATGCGCCTCCGATCGCAGCCGAACGAACGCACTTCCGCCGCTGCCGCAGAGCAAACGACGACGAGCGATCCGTCGTACTGCTGCTACTGCCTCCTCCTGCTGCTGCTGCTGCTGTTGTTGTAACAAGCACCACGCTCAGTGGATAGAAATAGATGAGGATCAGCGCTCGTCGACGGCAGAGGCACATACACATTGGTTTTGGTCGGTCTCGTCGTGGGGCACTGACCGGCTTAACTCAAGTAGAAGGCGTTCGTCCTTGGAATGTGCCTCGAAATACCCTGAAGAAAGATTTAACAACACAACTGTGAACTTGCCAAGTGTAACAATCGTTTGACGAAGGAGTTCGACTGTCCCAGAACGGGGCACGAGCTCTCTGAGAACGTTGATCGCCTCTGTAGCTACCAGGGATGGAAATGGCGAATCGATAACGAGGAATCTACCCATCTAAATTTAGCGAGAGTCAACTATTTTTCCCAAGTCTCATTGCAAGGGACACATAGGTCGTTCCAAAAGTATGGGTTCTGGGAGATCTTTCAGTGTGGGCCCGAGAGCTTTGTTAGTGACCTGTAAGCGGACAAACTGAGTAGGTTATCGTTGAGTGGGCTGTTTGCGATAGTAGTTATACTGCCGATCCTCCCTTCATGTTGCTGACTTAGGTCACAGAGGTTGGTTGGCTCGACGTGGCAGTACCTCCACCAGAGTNGGAGATCTTTCAGTATGGGACGGCGTCAGTGTGCCTGAGAGCTTTGTTAGTGACCTGTAAGCGGACAAACTGAGTAGGTTACCGTTGAGTGGACTGTTTGCGATAGTAGTTATACTGCCGATCCTCCCTTCATGTTGCTGACTTAGGTCACAGAGGTTGGTTGGCTCGGCATGGCAGTACCTCCACCAGAGTCATGGCTACAAAGGGGTTCAGATTCTGGGTGATCAGTCGGAACCTAAACTCTGGAGTCGCTACAGTTGGCTTTACAAGAGTCATACTGACCGGTCTTTCTGGAAAAGCATTCCACGTCCGCATAACACGAAGACGTAGAAAACGTAAAAAACTTTTAAAAACTTCCAAAAATTCGAGCTCGATAGCTTACGGTTCTCCGAAAGGACACTGTGCGTGGGCGTAGATGGTGAATCAATGTTTTGCATGAGCCGTGGGTGACCAACTTTGGTAGGAGCTTGCCCCATGGCTAGTAGGGGTAAGCCGCTACCTAACATACACAGGATAGAACCGAAATAGATGTGAGGGGACATACCGGAGAAATACGGTTGGACACACCATCCTGCTAAAGAAAGGGCTGCTCTGAGTTTTGCTCGATGCAAAACTGCAGCCTGGTGGAGAACAAAATCGATTTAAAAATAATTCAGTCCAGAGGAAACAATGGAGTTGTAAGTAGCGAGAGGATACTGCCCCGCTAGACCAGTTCGTACGAAAGCTACCCTGTCCACCGTAGTTACCTGGACTCTGAAGTGAAACTTAAGTTCTATAAATTGCTGGGTAAGTCAGACCAGTCCTGGGGAAGGGGGAGAAAAGAATGAAACTTTGGCTAATGTTAGGGAGAAGCATAGTGCACAGTCCTCACTAATCTTAATAGATGCTGAGAGCATGAGGCTGTCAGGCAGGCCTTATCATTGGAGAATGGGTAAAGACTGCCCGAGCGAAGCCAGACTGGGAGCCCATACATCTGTCCCACAGTCAGATGAGGTCAAGTGTACAGGTCGCCCTTCAACGTACGGATATCCAAATTGTGTGGCTTGTGCAATCTTTTCCACAAAGTTCATCTCGATCTCTCCGGGAGTGTAAAGCTTCGTAACACATCGTGGCACGACGGGCAAAAGGCAGAGGGGGCGAGAGGAGGCGGGGCCAACAGGCACAGCTTCATCAACGTCTTTTTCTCGATCGATAAATAGTTTGGACAGTGAGCACGTTGTGATGAACCGAGTAGAAGGTCGAACTCACAAATTGTACTTGTCAGAGGAAACCTGAGATTTTGGATATACTGGAGATTACTGTACATTGGCATCGAACGACAAACAACTGAAGGTTGAGGTATTGGGATCAAAATAGCACATCGTCGATGGCGGGTTGTACTTCAAGGCAGTGGTAGAACGACTGAGTCAATAGGGAGCGTTAAACCACGGAGGAGGTGGGAACGTCGAAAAATGAAAATGATTCATTCCGTTCATCACCTCGTTGAATAGGGAGCAGACAAATCTGAGAAGTGATGGGTCAGACCAAAAAGGGTAGAGAAAGTTTTGAAAGAACGAAAAAAAGTTTCTAGAGATCCACTTTGACCCTCGTATTGGAGGAATAGGAGGGGGGAAAAGACTGGAGCAGGCTGGCCCAAAGAAAATTTTAGTACATCATCTTTGCCTAAAACCGTTTCCAAAAAGAAGGAGAACTCAGCGGGCCAACGTATGGGTACGCCACGTATCGGCATTTCTCCAGAATCGAAAGATTTCGAAGGCATTAATTCAGGCACTATCTGGTACCTGGTTCATAGGGGATGGCAAAAGATAGAAGTCGAAGGCATCGATTTAGGCACCTTCCGGACCCTGATTCACAAGAAGTGGCAAATCATCGAAGAGGTAGTGAGCTCGATCCAACTGAGTGAGTACTAAGCTCAATTCTGACCGCAGGATCAAGCTGGGTAAAATCCTCAGGCTTAGTCTGGCAAGTAGGAATGTAAAGGGGACGAAATAGGGAAGACCTTAGACCGTAACTGTAGCAAGTGTATTTATAACAGGCGACTCAGAACAGACCACAGGTATGGTATGTGATTAATAACACACCCGAAATAACCTTACTGTGCCACATCTGGCCGCCTCATGCCAGCAGCCGCCCAACCAGACACTGATACGAGTAACCTTTTTGGGTTGCCGCCCAGATTTGGCACTCAAGGTTCAACAGAATAGCTCGCAAAGGAAGAATTGAGAAGTATGACTTCTCTTCAGGAGACTGTATTCTCCCGTTCCTCCGTCAGCAGCGGAACGTCTCATGAATGACTACTGTTGTGCGTCTTTTCATTCTCACGAAATGACACAATCACCACACATAAGTCTTACTCACCTACTGACTCTGTGCAAGAATAATTGCAGTATGCAGTATACTCAATGACTCATTTTCAAGAAATACCTCTCCGATCGATTGGAATCGGTTGGATCAAAGAAGTGGGAGAGAATCAAAGGGGTTTCTCGGGAACACCCGTTCACCTCTGCGATTACTACCGAATGTCGAATATATCGTGGACTGCTCATCTTCAACTATCTAAGCCTCCCCTTGAACGCTTCCCTAATTATATTATCGCCCGGAGAACATCGAGTTAAATCAAATCTCGAAAATGTTCAAATTTAGCCAAAACTCAGAGAAAATCACCCCAATCACCGTCCTGCTCAGGCAACAAACCTCATGGAAGACTTGGATTCATTACCATGTATCCACCACGATCGCAAGATTATTGTATCATTCATATGCATGGACAACAGTTTTAGCTTTCCGTCTAGGTTATATAATTCCGTTTCATGTGTCCTTTCCTAACGAGGAGCGATTCTAAGGAGGGGATACGGGCGTCTTTAAGATAGCCTTATGATTCTCGATCTCCCCACAGAATACACAACAGGAAAACAGCAGGAAATCCGTGAAGGAACTATGAGGTACAGGAGCGCCGTAGAAGATTCTAAGGTCTCTCTATCCATCAGAAATTCAAGGTTAAAAGGGCTCTGAGGAAAGAATCTCAGGTGGACGTGAAGAGCAACTCACCACAAGGTCTTCCTGAGCACTGACGACTAGGCAGATGTGAACGGATGAGTTCGTTCAAAGTGGGAGCGGTCTGCCAGTGGAAGAACTTGAGCTGGGACCGATCATTAGTGGCTGATAAACATCAGATCAGCTTATAAAAGTTGCTGAATGGGATGTCATGAAGAGGCGTGATAAGGATGGAGAGGGACGATGACGATGGCGGTGGTGGTGGTGAAGAAGCAACGACCACGACGACGATTGCAGTGGTAGTGAAACGAAGACGGCGACGACGACAACGACGGCAAGGAGGAGGTGGAGCTGTTGCAATAGCAGCAGCAGCTACAGCAGCTACAGCTGGTCGTCAAGAAATAGCACATCGAGTGAGGTGTAGTGCACAGACTCGATCGGCACCGACCACGCCTCCACACGTACATACACACACATACATACATACACATACACACAATCCACCATCGCCACGACGCCCTCGCGCGTGCCACTGCACCTCTCCCTCGTTTCTTACACTGTGGGAGCTTTAGATAGCCAAATAGACTACTGCCCGAACGATCGGTCACTTGAAATGTTTAGGTGTCCTCCCACAGTATCCTCAATTGGCACTTGGCGTATCAAAATCTATCGTGAGGCAAATTGTGCATTTTTGCGTCGATGCATGTTTTCTGCGAAAAAGGCAGTATTTGGGGCGGAGCTTTCATGATCCCCGAACTTGCAAGTCTTTTTGAGGTTTGGGTTCCTATGTCATAGTGTATGTTGGACTCTATATTTTCGTACATTCGCCTATCTTTACACTGATATTGACAACTTACATAGCCAGCCAGCCAGTCAGCCACCCACCCACTCAAATTGCCCCTCTCGACTCTGATTCTCTAGTCATCCCTGCGTCTCTGACCTCCTTGACTGAAGGGAAAAGCGTGGCCGTTGAGTTGGGTGGCTGTGTTTGAGCACACTCGTCTTCGACTTTGCCAGGTCGAGTACCTCCAATTCCTTGCCTCTCGTGTTCCCCCTCCCCACACCCGCGTAGCACCCCGTTGATATGCGCAAACAGACACGCAAGGCTAGCAAATTTTCTTCTCGTAGGCAAGAACGATGCCTGAATGACTGACTGGCCTAGCTGAAGGTAGAGAAACAGAGCTCGAGAAAGTGCATAGAAAGTAGTCGCGAAAGTGGAGTGTACAGAGTAAGAAGTTTGCCAGCATGGTTGGAATATGAGCACAGTACTGAAAGGGAGACCAGCTGTCCGATTCGACCGATTGGGGCATGCTGGAGGGGATGGCTGTGACGGCGGCATCGGTGCTTTCTGGAGAAGAAAACAGACAAGCAGACGGACTTGGAACGTAGTTGATAGCCATTTTACGGTTCTTCTGATCAACAAGCTGACCAGGCCACATATGGCCCGTGATGGTACTTTGATTACTGGCAGAGGTAGGTCGCCAGGACCACTGAAATCCTTATGAACTTACTTAATCACCGCCAAACTGTTTGTATTCACTCCGAACTCAGATGAACTTACTGACTTGAACATTGCTTAGCCAACACATGCTAACGTGCAGCTCTCATATTTAGTGAAACGGCTATTTCTCAGAAGAAGGGGTGCATGGCGCAATACCAGGACTTGACCTTCGGGTAAGGCAGACCCTACCTTTTCAATTCCATCAGCCCTCTTTATAGGATCACAAAAGAAAGGACCGCAAATGTAAGATCATACCTTCCAGAAAATAGATTGGTCAGGAGAGCGGATTCCTTCGAAGTAACCCTATCCCTCCATCTCCTATAATCCTTCGATTAGCCCCGCACTAGTCCTTGTCTATAAAAATACGACGAACCTTACTTTGACCTTATTTACTTTTGTTGTTATGAGTTGTTTACTTTATTCTGTTTAGTTTTGTTTTATCAATTCTCCGAGATTTCCGGTCGTTCGATACAACACTTTGAATGATCAAGGAATGAACAGGTGGATAAATCGATCTTTACCTGAACCTAATTGATCCCAATTTAATCGATCTCTAATCAAATAGAAGACCCTGATCAATTTCCTTTTGTACTGATAAACAAGCCGATGGAAGGAAAAAGCCGTGATCAAATTATCGTATGAGTCCAGGAATCATCCAATTGCTCCCATATCAATGAAGACTTGCTGACATCATGGCGTAAACAAAATCAAATGATCACACCATTACTTAGAAAACCAGAAAGTGAAATTTAATTAAGACTTTGTTTATTCAGCAATAGTTTTTCAAACTTTCATTTTTCATATTCTGAACACCGCAGAATTTTTTTATCCAAAAAAGTTTATTAAATCTTAATGTTTCTAAAAATTTCCTTATAAATTCCCCCTTGCAAACGGTATGGCTACTGAAAATCTAATTATCTATTCAATAAATGTAACTCATCTGAATTCAATATGACCATTCAAATTATAGTTAGTCGGAAATCCCGCAAAATTTGTTTGACAGTTAAATTTTTTCGACAGAATTCGAAGTTTTTCGCAGAATTTTCGAGAGGGCTCGTTGAGAGATTGGTTTGTGGTATTCAAAAAGATATGATATTTTGAAGAGAACCATACCTCCATTTTATTGACCAACGACTTCTACTTAAATGACCTTTTCTATCAGACACATTGGATTTCCCGACCAACTAATTCATCTGTTGCCAGTTCTATCCTTGAAGATCGATTTATCGTCTATTTCTTTGATCCTGGTTTTTCTTACATTCCGTATACCTTTGGATAAATTCTGCTCATTGAAAGGCACGTTGAACTGGTTTCGTCTAGTTTTGTTAAACACATCCAGGCCACATGGGAAACGTCTAAAGCGTACAATACACACACACTTATACACACACATAGCGATCGCTGAAACTTTGTATTTATTGATCGATGGTGCAGAATGTGTCTATGTGTGTGTGTGTGTGTGGTGATGGTGGTGGAGGGTGAGTTGGTGGGTGTGGGAGCAAACACAAAGGAAGACAGGACGGATGGACGGGGGAAAAGGTTCGGCAGCTCGCTGGACGACGCAGAGGGACGGAGGGCAAGCGATAGTTGGTTGGACTGCTGTCTTGAGGAATCTTGATTTGTCCGAACGTACAGAAACACCACAAAAGTCGGATGACAAACGTTCAAGGCACGGTGATGATCATTCCAGATGGAAAATAATTCAATTCGAAAAACAGAGCGTAAACTAACACGTAAGACTCTCTAGATGAGCCCCTTAAGATGAGTTTCCATTTTAAGCAGACAAGTAATTTTGTCCTGTAGAGGATAGGGAATGTTCAACGGCAATGTACTTGTTGGGATGCGCCATGCACCTAATTTTCGGTTAGAATTGGTTATGTTAACCATGTTACAGGGCAACTGTTGTAGTCTCTTGAGGTCTAACCCCTCCAGCTCCGATCGCGCGATCCTAGAAACAGTTGGACGTTGCTGCTCGTGTTGTTCTTTCCCATTAATAACGATTAAGCGATGACAGCCGGCTTTCCTCCCGGTCTCCGCACTCCCATCATCGAAACCCGGCCTGGGAACCTCATGGGTAGATTTGATAGTAATGATCCAGAAGCTCTATGGTGGTTTGTTGCTTGAAGCCTGATCATGAGCTCCTACATTTATTTCCATTCAATCATCCCCGAAAAGTGTTGCTTTCATCCTACACATTCCTTTAATATACCGTAATACGAACCCATTGAGCTATCTCGGAGAGAATGGAGGCCGGGATGGGCAAGACACGAGGAGCTTCGATCACCGGATCGTGAGCGAGGCAGCGGCACCATATGCCTTTGCTTCATACCTAACCACTGTGGCAACGGTCGCAACTAAACGAAAGTGGTGCTCAAGTCGATTTCTGACAGCTCATCACTCAGAGGCTCTCAAAAGTAGTTTAACAACTGATTTCTCGGTCCTTACAACAACTCTTACTTGCCGGCTGGTTCCCTCACTGAGGCGTCATCGTCATAATTGGAAAGCCCGATGTGTAGTAAAGAAGGATGAAGAGGACCTAGGG